TGGCCAATGAAACATTAAAAAAAAAAAATGTTTTCAGAATTTTGTTTATTCACAACTTATTTAGTTAATTTTTATTTTTGTTATTAAAAAAAAGTATAACAAAATTGCAATTTGAATTGTAGAGCGGAGCTAAGTGTGCCCCCTGATGAAGGATTGTTCTTGTCTATGCTTTTGAAATTAATGAATGCCAAGAAGACATTGGAGATTGGTGTTTTCACTGGCTATTCTCTTCTTACCACTGCCCTTGCTTTACCTCATGATGGCCAGGTTTGTAACTCCCTCTTTAAATTGTAATCAAATTTAAATCAAGCCCAAAAGAGTTTGTTAAAAATTTGGTTTTAACATTTTTAAATCAACAAGTTGTCATGCCAATTAATCCATACCTTTCATTGCTTTTTTGAAAACAAGTTGTCATTCCAATCAACAAGTTGTCATTCCAAGTTGTCATTTTTAGATCAACAAGTTTAAAGAGTTTAAATCAACAAGTTGTCAATTTAAAGAGTTTATTACTTGTGACCATGTTTGTTTCAAACTTTTTTGTTTTTGTTTTTGTTTGCATTGCTTTTTTGTGGGTCTATTTTTAGTCAACTAAATTTTTAGCCAAGTTACAAAGGATGACTTAGATTACATGGGATCATTAGTTTTGAAACTAATAATTCTGGAATTACCAATTTTTTGGAATTACATATCTTATTCCACTTTTGGAATGTTCCTGCATTAGGAAGGAATTATGTAACATATTCTATTTTTGTTTGAAATCCTTAGACATTGATTACATAATGCGATGACCATGTTTGCAGGTATTTTGATCTTTTAAACTCATAATTTGGATTGTCATTTTGTATCCTTCTCATTGGGACTCAATAATTCCCAATACGAGGGATATACAATTCAGGGGAACAATCAATCCTAAGACACATTTTATATCCAAATATGATACAAGATTGATCAAGATACATAGTCTAATCTAGTGGTCATGGTCTTATCTCCAAAACAAATACTTCTTTTTTTTTTTTGGGTTGGGGAATGAGTTAGTAATGAGGTAACTAGGACAAGTACTTGCTTAATATGAGAGACCAAGTTCTACTGGGATTTAAACGTGACAAGCTGACAAAGATTCTAATTAACTACAATAGAAAACTAGAATTAATGTTTTTCTTGTTCCCTCATAAAATGATGTTAAGATTCCAATATAGACATAATCTAAATCAGTCTTTTTGTTTTCATTATTATTATTCTTTTTATTTTTCAACAGATAGTAGCAATGGATCCAAATCGAGAAGCATTTGAAGTTGGACTGCCATTCATTCAGAAGGCTGGTGTGGAGCACAAGATCAATTTCATAGAATCAGATGCCATTTCTGTTCTCAATGAAATGTTGAGCGATGTGAGTTTTTAATTTTAAAGCCTATTTTTTGTTCTCAATTACACAATTAATTATTTTGCACTGTTAAATTTCCTATTTGGGAGTGTAAAACATTTTCCTAATTTGATCTGCCATTCTTTGCCAGCATTGTTAATCACATTTTGTGTGCCAATTTCCTATAAATCTGACTGACATGCTTATATAGAACGCCTACTTCTTAAACTTGGGAACTAATTATATGAATTATGTATATATGGCAGGAGGGTAAGTTGAAAATGGAGTTTGATTTTGTGTTTGTGGATGCTGATAAGCCCAACTACATTAACTATCACGAGCAAGCGATAAAACTGGTGAAAGTAGGAGGTGTTATTGCATATGATAACACTCTGTGGTATGGTTCAGTTGTAAGCAATGAAGAAGAAGTCCCCGAGCGTCTCCGTGCCAGCCAAAAGCCCATAATTGAACTCAACAAGTACTTAGCCTCTGACCCCCGAATCGAAATCGCTCAGATTTCAATTGGTGATGGTGTCACATTGTGCAGGCGCGTACTCTAGATTAGATCGTATCGTATCATATCATATGAGCTTGACTAAATTTGTAATAATAATCATGTTACCATGGATTTTAAGTCATTTATTTTTAAGGATGATCCGTTTATAATGTTGTTATCTTATTCATATCTGTAGATCTTTATGCTTTTTTGTGTTGAAAATAAAAATGGCAATAGCAACCTTGTAGTTGCAAAAGTATTTGAGACTCCACTTTTGCAGCTGATGTCATTTATTCGTAATGTATTTCGTGGTACCACTTGTGGATTGGTTTGAACCTTCAAACTCTCTTCTTGAAGGTGTGCTTAGTTCTTAAATTTTGAAAAAAAATATTTGTGGATGTAACAAAAAATAATGCACCTCAGAGCTGACTTTGAAGGAATTTTCACCAAACATTGTGGTAGTGAAATTATTGATGAATTGTTTGAACATACTCTAAATATTGGGAAGTTTTCCTCCCAATCTGAATCAAGCAACCTGCAAGGAAGCCTTTTGTCTTTGAAGAGCAAATGATTCAAGTTCAAGTGATCTTGGTCTCCTCCTCAGGTGGCATGATTTGGGGGGCCAAGCAGTTCTAGTAAAACAAATGGATTGGATGAAAATCCATCGCTTCGTCGTGGACACAATTGATTTTGGGTGAATTCACTTGTTAAGGAGTCTAAATTAGTTATTTCCATATTTTGTTTAAATTTTCCATTTTTATTAATTTTGTTATTTCCTTTATTTTGTAATGTCAGCAATGAATTGTCTAGTTTGGTTGTTCCTAGTCGGGTAAGGTTTGCTTTTTATTATAAATAACAATTATAAGCCTAAGGGCTAATTTGTTTTGAGAGTTAAAATAAATCCAAGTTGTTGGGTACTCTTTCAGCTTAAATGCCAAAGCCCATTTGGCTACTCTTTTTCCTGTCAAAAACCAACTTTTTAAAGCCAAAAATCATTACAAAAGTAAAAAATATGCCAAACTAACTTTCTAAAGCACTAGTTTATTTGTGGACTTATTTTAAGCAATAAGCAAACTTACTCTCTAATCTGCTCCTATTCCCAGCAGTTTCACCATTAAAAAAGGTAAAAGCAACATATATCATATACATGTCTGCCAGCAATTTCCTTTTGGGTCGCGATATCTGCTAGAAAACTGACCTTTCAACCCAGTTGGGTCTCAAACCCTCCATCCATCTAGTTTCCTGCAGGCTGCTTTTATCTTAAATGTTTTCAAGTTTCTCCTGTTAACCCCTCTCATTTTCATCACATCTCAAAATAGGATACACACACAGGGAAATACATAAATCATGGTGACTCCAAGTACCCAAGAATTTCAAGCCACTCTATCGTAAGAACCACTACCAAACGCTCATTAAATTAGATAAGCTAATTACAAAATGAAATTCATCCACTTATTGTCGTAGAAAACCAAATGTGGTAGATTATGGACATACAATCCAATCCAAGTTGTAGTCTTCAAAGATGCCTAAATCGCAATTAACAAGCAGCAAGAAAAGGAATTAACACTATTTCACACTTCTCCCTATGAAAAGAGCATAGCCATTTAAATAACTCATCTTTCATGTACAATATTTACATCACGTGAGGAAAACCTTATTGCTTTTCAATCACAATGAAGCGAACACCACTTGAATTGATCAGAACAACAATGTTACAAAGAGAAAACCCATGTCACACTACAATGCTACAGATCACCCTGAAAATCAATTACAAAACTCAACCCATTGGCGAACATATAAATACTGCAGCTACTCATACTACAAATTACTTGCATTGTCAAAAAAATGTGGGTTTCTGATCATTTTATACTGCAGATGGAAGTTGCTTCAGCTTCTGCTTAACCAGCATGGTTGAAATTTTCCATCTCATTGGTTTTTTTGGTTCTGATCCCTGAAAAATGTATTTGAAATTATATCAAACATAAATGATTCTATACAAATGCATACTAATTTCCCTTACCTTGATAAACTAAATTTTGTGGAGTCTAATTAACAAAAATTTAATGTCAAGCATTTATTCATTTTATACGAAGATAAAATTCAAACTCCTACAAGCCATAAATGTCCTGCCCCATATCAAATGGAATCGACCTTGATTTATATTCACTAGAAGTTGGGAAACTGCATTGAAGAATTAATTCAGAGAGGCTCACACTGCCATTATCTTCACAACGCAGGAACAACATAATAATAAAAAACATAGTGGTTGCTGATAAATAAAATAAATAACATAATGGTCTAAAATACAAGCTGTGTCCGCTTCATTCATTTCATCATGAAAAAAGACAACCAGTCATAATTCATAGGAAAAATGCATTCCATTCCATCCATAATTCATATGCCTCCTTATGCAAGAATTCATTTTTCACCGAAATGATTGTGATTTGGAAAGAAGCAAGATCAATGCACTAATTGAAAAGAACCGATCACGGTGCTTTTAAGTATCATACCTTTTAGAACCATCTAAATATTCTTGCATCCAGGGTCTCTTTAAATCATAGTCTGCTTAAATGAAATGTTTGTGAGCATCACATCCTTTGTCTTTGGAAGAAATCTCCAATTTTCCATGTCAAGGAACTACTTAGTTACTGTAAGACAAACCAAAAGTGGCATAAGAGACTACCAACAAAAAAAGACATAGGAGAAAAGAAGAAAGGTAGTTGCCATTTGAACAGGGCTAAACCTTGCCAATTTAGTAGACCATCATAAACTAAAAACAAGTTATTTACATTCTACTATATAATAATTAAATAACAGAAATAAAGTAAAAACCAAATTAAATAATAAAAAGAAGAGCCAGTTAGCCAAAAGATCTTCTTGGGGTATTTCCCATGTAAAAATTTTGCACAAGATTGAAGGTTTGTATTTTTAGTTATGAAATTAAAACCAAAAGAAATGTAATTTAATTTGTTGGATTAATAAGAGAAACATCATATCAATTATCATTAAATATCACTTCACTTCACATTTAATAATAAAATTGTATATTTGTTTTAATTATAACTTTTAAATTTGTATATTTTTATAACAAGAAGAGGTCATAACTCATGTAACCTTATTTAATTAGGTTTAACTTTATTTTTGTTAATTACAAATTATCAAAATTACACTAAATAGACTTATATATATTTTTACTTTTTTTTTAAACTAATAATTTAAAAAGTTGTAAGCATAAAAATTAATTTATAAATTTCATATATATCATAATGATGTAGGATAAGATTTTAAGAATTTTTATATTTTTAGTTTTAATATTTTTGATATATTATTTATTAATTTTATTATTTTAGAATTAGACTTTGACTAGGATTTTAAATAGTTTAGAATTTTAGTTTCCTATTCTCTTAGGTTTCCTAATTTGTGTTGATTTAAGTTTCCTAATTTATTTTAGAATTACTTTTCCTACAAGTATTAGGTTTAGTTTATTATAAATAGCTATGTAAGTCTCATGGCAAAGACAACTTTTATTCATTTAATCAATAATATTAAAATATTTTCTCTTTCTTGTGGATTTAAGGTTCCATTTTTCTCGTGGATTCGAGAGCCCTTTTCGTCTACTAGAACGATATTTAGTCCCCGTGTATTCTGCTGCGTCAAGTGATATCAGAGCAAGGTTTCTCCTGACTCGATGTCATTCATCGAAAGAGGAAGCACAAGCTCTATTGACGATGATTGTAGAGAAAGATTTAATAAGATTCGAGTCAAGGGACTTGGCCAAGGCCAACCTGTTAGTCACAACGTTAATAGGAACCACGCTAGGGGATTTACCCAAGGCCAACCCATTAACCACAACATCTTGAGATGATCTTCTTCTTATCAATATGATAGTGACGACGAATCTGAGGATGAGTTACTCATGGATTATGGTGAATATCAATCAGTAAGGTGACAATGAAGATTCAGTAATGTGTTCAATAGCAATAATTGCATCAATCATGACTTTGCAAATTATCAAGTACCACAAAAAATTCCCTATTTTAATGCTTCTTGTCGTACCTAGGATTTTATTTATTGGTTTCGCAAAGTTAACAAATTCCTTGAGAGTATGGAAATCTCTGAAGAAAAACAAGCAAAATATGTCACACGTAAGTTACAAGGTTATGTTTCTACATGGTGGAAACAATTGCAGTATGATCGAAGGCGACAATACAAACAACTCATTAAGACGTGACATAAGATGAAGAAGTTGATGAGTTCTAGATTCCTTCAAACAAATCATGGGCAAATATTGTATCAACAATATTAAAGAAAGCTTGAATCAAAACAATTGCTCCAAGGTAATTTTGATTCACAATATTCTTCGCAATTCAATAATTATTATGCAATTGTGGATACAGATTATTCAAGGAACATGACTATGGTTCTACCAAGTTCGGGTCAATCAAATCTTGTAGGTCAACAAATTTGTTACGCTCAACCACACATTGAAGAAGAAAAGATTTTGAGAATCACAATGTTTCAAAATTTTGAAGACCCAAACAGACATTCAATTGAAGTAGTAAATCAAGTTGATTTCAACAATAGTGAGAACGTTGAAATTGATGAAAGAGAGGTCATTGGAATTACTTTGATTAAGAAGTTTGAAGAAGACAATGAAGAGGTGAAGCAAGAGAAAAACGTTGAAGTTAACCAAAAGCTTCTAATGACAGAACTATCATCTCTTGATTATTATGATGGTTATGAGATCGCAAAAGGAGATCAAGTGGAACTCAATGAAAAAGAAGAAATAAAAGATGAGGTAATAAAGTTGACATGTGCACTAGAAAAGTTGATTGAAGATGCAATTGATATTCCAAGATTGATAATTGAATGTCCAATTGAATCTAAGATAGAGCAGAGTCCAGAGAGTATCCAACATCAATATAAAATACACCTTGTTGATTTTTTTAGTGTGGAGCAATTTAATTTGATTTTCAATGCTTGTCTATTTAATCTTGTCAATCAGTTGAAGTATATAGAGAACTTTCAGAAAGAAAGCTTTTCTATATACAACTTTTGGAAAATGGGCAAGTAACTGAAATATTGAAAATATCTCTTTATTTAGTAAGCAAGATGGTAGATTTCTAATATGAACTCGAGAACGAGTTATTTTAAAGAAGAGGAGTCTGATGTAGGACAAAATT